GTCCCCATCCTTCCAGAGGCCACAGAACAGACTGGTTCAGCCAGAAGGGAGCTTTGAGGTGAGACAGACTCCTCTCCTCTGCACCCTTCTCCCCAGTTGACAGAGGAAGAGACTGAGGCTCAAAGGGGACAGGTGGGACGGAACTGGGAAGGACTCAGTGCCCTTGGCCTTGGACCAGGCTGGTGGCAGCTGACGTGGCTGGATCTGAGAGGGAGGCAGAAGACCCTGTAGCTTTCCTTTCGCCTTTGTCACACCTCCTGGGATCCTCTCATGGGAGATACGCCATGTTGGGTGCTTAGATACCCCTGCAGAGGGTCACACCTTAGACCCTGATCCCTGAGACCTACCCAGGAGCAAGGAGCAGACAGACGGTGAGGACCAAGAGTCAGAAAGGGCAAGGAGGGGTGCTGGAACCCAGTCTGCAGTGGTGTCCGGGTGAGCCCCGCCCCAGACGGCGTCACCAAGACAGCGGAGAGCATCCGAGATGCAGGCCAGTTGCCTCCACACCTGCAGCCCTCGGGCTTCCCTGGCCGCAGTCCTGCCCCAGCCTGTCCCACCTCCCCTGAAACCAGCACATCTCTGCTAAGTACTTCTTTAATCCTCACAACAGTCCCGGTAAGTCCCCCTTTTACAGATGAGAAAACGGAGGCACAGAGAAGTGTAGGGATCTGCCCAAGGTCACAGCTGGTAGACAGCAGAACCGGATTTAACCTGGGCTGCCCAGGTCCAGAGTTAGTGCTTCAACCACCACACCAACTACCCTCAGGGGGCCGCAGGGGCCTCAGGGCAGGATAGAGGGTGTTTCTCCCACTCCTGGATCCCCAGCACCTAGCACCATGCCCGGCACGTGATAGACCCCCGTAAAGGTGTGTTGAGTAAATGAATGAACAAATCTCTAAGAAGAATTCCTCCCTTTTCCAAGAACTATCCTCCACCAACTATATCCAAAGCCAGGGAGCTCTGGCTGAGCCCCTCCCTAAAGCCCCGCCCTGCATTCCTCTCTCCCTTCCTGAGTTAGGGGACTCTGTCAGAGCCTCCCATGCCGGCGTTTCCAGTAAAGGCTTGGGTTGACTTTCTTCCCCAGTGGGAGGATGTGGCTGTTGGTTTACTTGTCTGTGTCCTCCGTGGTCACTCCCGCCACCCTAGGACTGGGGACTCTGCAGACAGGGCAGTCGCCAGCCTCCTCTCTGTGGCCGGGGCCTGGCAGTAGGCTGGGTGCACAGAGGAGTGGAAGGCGATGCATCTCCCACCAGCTCCTCCCTTCCTCCGCGTCCTGGCTTCCTGGAATTGTAGACTGGGTACCTCTCTCCCCACACTTGAGCTCTCTCCCCACTCAGCACTTCCTGCCTTGCATTCCCCCAGCCCTGTGACCCCCCCTTCCCCTGCGGCGCTGTGATGGGAGCATCGAATGTGTCATACCTGTGGTGGTGGAAAATGTCTCTGAGCAAGCCAGCAAGGGGATGTCCCGGGGCTGTCACAGGGGCCAGGCCCGGGCTGCTGGTGCTGAGCTCAAGTTCAATCAACAACCCAACCACCCCCCTCACCCCATCCTCAATGACAGTGGCCCTGAGACAGCAGGATGTAGGGGAAAGAGCCCAGGGTTCCAGTCCCTCCCCGCCCCCTGGCCCCGCCCTCCTAAATTCACAGCCTGGGACATGGTGCCAGCCTGTCGGGGCCTCCTGTCATCATCTGTGACTCAGGACTCAGAATCTGGGTCATTCTTGTCTTGCTGGGTCACCGAGAGACTGCATGAGACACTAGACGTGCACACACTCTAAAAGCTGTAAAGGGCTTGCCCTGTGAGTGCTGAAGACCACCTGGGTTCACATCCTTGCTCCACCCTGTTCTAGCTGTGTGGGCTTGGGCAAGTTATTAACCACTCTGTGCCTTCGTTCCCTCATCTGTAAAATGGAGTACCTCCCGCCTCCCTTGTGGCATTGCTGTAAAGATCAAGGCAGTTAACAACACGGTGGACTTAGAACGGAACCTGATGCATGCTGCGTGCTCAGTAAATGTAGCTCTTGAAGGGACCCTGAAGGACCGCGAACCTTTGCCTGTGGCCCTCACAGGTCCTTGTCCCCAGGCTGTCCGTCCCCCCGCCACCTGTTATAAAATCGAGATTGCCAACAGTGGCTGCTAATCTGCAGGAACAGTTCCTCTCTCTTCCAAGACCATCTTTGACCAATTATTTCTAAAACTCACTCAACTCTGGCTTGAGCCTCTCTTGCTAAAGCCCTGGAAACGTTCCCCTCCCCCTTCCCAAGGTCAGAGACTCCAGAGTCTTCTCAGGCCCCGGATTTTTGAATCAGGCTGTGCTGGTGGGCCTCTGATTGATTTTCTTCCACAGCCGTTGCCATCACCCCTGTATCCCCAGAATCTAGCCCAGGGTCTGGCCCACAGCACAACAGATTGTTTATAAAAAAGGTAGCTTAGGAGGGGGACAGAGGAGGAAGTCATCAACCCTACCAGGGATGAACCAGAGGGCCTCTCAGAAGTGGGGATGCTTGAGTGGGGTCCTGAGGGATGTGTAGGAGTCTGAGAATGGATTTTTTGGGCAGCAGGACTGCTTCAAACCCAAGGACCAACAAGTGCCAAAGTCAAGGAGTGAATTGTGGTCCCTGTCCTCATCCCACCCCCAACCCCACCCTCCCAGTCTTGAAGTAAAGTACGTGTAGTCCCAGCCACAAGCCACCTTCCATGGGGAGCCTGAGACCACAGACTAGCAGGGCTAGCAGAGCACTTAGGAATCATCCAGACTCCCCCATTCACAGAGAGGGTGACGGAGGCATGAGAGCCGATGGGACCTGCCTGAGGTCCCCCAAGTCATTGACTGTCACATTAAGGAGTTCGGCCATTGTCCTGAAAACAACAAGGAGTCACTGGGGACGTAAGCAGGGGCATGACATGGCCAGATGTGACCCTGAGCGAGACCACCTTGGCAGGGCTCAGAGGTGGACAGACGGGAGGGGCAGGTGGCGGGGGGCTGGTGGACCAAGGAGGAGGCTGAGCAGACGTCCGAGCTACAGGTGATGCCGCCAGGTGCCAAGGGTGAGGACGGTTTCTCCCACAGTCACACTCGTGGAATGGGGGCCGCTTTTTTTTTCTTTTTAATTGGTTGCCAGGAAGCTTAGAATGGAATTTTGCTTGGGTCTTTTTCTATTAATCTAATTGTCTCCTATGCAGCTTTGTATATGCAAAGGCCAAAAGCTCTGGTCCTGAGTTTGAGTCCGGCTTTCCCAACCATCAGCTGCCTTTCCTAACCTCCCTGAGCCTCAGTTTCCTAATCTGCACAACGGGGAACATAACCCCTGCCTCAAAGGGTCCCTTTCAGATACTGAGGGATGATGCTTGGGAAGTGCCTGACACAGTGTCTGGAGCATAAATATTAATTTTATTATCCCTTTTTAATGTGCTTTGTAATCATTTTTGAGGTTATCCAGGATGTCAATCATTAGGAGCACGGTGGTGGGTTATTCATCCTAGTCATGAACTCTTTCCACCATAATCTTCTCGGTAATTGTGGGCGCTGGAAGCTGCTCGGAGTGGGAGCTGGGAGGTGTGGGGAGCAGAGATCCCCGGGGATTGGGGAGGTGGAGGAAGGAATACTGCTCCAGAGATTGGAGACCTGAGAGGCTGGAAGGCCCCCCTACCTCTCCTGCCTTTTCTCTTATCCCCCCATCTGCCTCGGCTGTCTCCTGCTTCCCGCTCTGCACCTGACCGTTCTCCGGGCCCCTAGGCTGCCTGGTCCCCAGCTGGCGCTGCTCCTCTCCTCCTCAATCTGAGCCAGGCAGGCCTGTCTCTCCTTCACTCCTTCCACCTCTGCCAGCTGCTCCCTCCTTGCCCCATCACCCAAGGCCCACACTCTAAGCCACACCAGACATGTCACTCTGTGGCTTCTGGCCCAGCAGTCCATCTCCAGCTGATGTAAGGTGGCCCCTTATTCTGCTCGCTGCCAGCGCAGGCCTCTTGTCACACATGGTGGGGCAGCTGGGTTCCCTGGGCGTGCCTGCTCATAGGTCCCTCTCAGCTTTCCAGTCTCCGGCATCTCAGCCTCAGTTTTCCCCGTCTGGAAAATCAGAATCTGGAAAAGTAAGAGTTTCTGTGTGGAAGGAACCTGAGGGATTATCTGTTCCAGAGATGTCATTGTGTGCCAGCTGTGATCCATTGGGACCTGCGTACAGAATCTAAAGCTGTACCCAAGCTCCAGAGGAAGGAGGGCCGTGATCAATTAGCAATGTCTTCCCTGCATGGATAGAATCAATTAGCAATGTCTGCCATGGGTGCAGCTTTATGAATGCCAGATACTGCCATCCATGATCTGGTCCGACTTTTCAGAGTCAAGGGCATTGAAAAAAAATCTATATCTATATCTATCTATATATATATGTGACACAGAATAAGGTAAATCTGAGTCCTATTAGTGAAAAAGATATTCCCTTTACAACTCTTTTGCTTTCTCTCAAGGAGGAAGTCTCCATTCGGTGCTGGCATGTCTTCAACAGCTTCCTAACACTTGTTGATCTCCCCTTTAAACTAAGAGACAGCAGATTTCCAGCAGGCAATGAGTTGAAACATTTTGTTTTATTGTATTTACTTTTTACAGTTACCTTTTATTTATAGTGAATATCCATTTTTCCATTTACAAAAGCAATATAAAGATTTTTCTTTAAATAAAAATATTTTTTAAAGTGAATTGGCTTAAAGAAAAATATTAAGTAAACAACAGCAAAGATAGTACACACAGATCATTAAAAATATACGTAACACAAATGACCATGGCTTGAGCAATGTCACCCTCCCCGGAACTTTTCAAAGTGGAAACTGACTTGCAGAAAGGGTTCCTTGTTTGCTCCAGGACGCACAGCAAAGGTCTGGGCACAGAGCTCGGGGCTGACACTCAGGCCAGGACTGAAGAGCCTTGTGGCCCAGATCATACGGCATCGTATGGCAAGAGGCAGGAATTGAGATTACTAGGAAATAAAGCTGTTCCGTGGTAACGATTCAAGACTCAGACAAGCTCAGGAAAGTTTATTTTGGATATAAGGGAAACAGGAATGCTGAGCGAAGGGCCAGTAGCCCCCTTGGGAGCAGGACTCTGTCTGGGGAGTCCTGAGCCCTCTGCTTACATGGCTCTGCTCCTCTCTAGCCTTTCCCGGTGCCTACTCCATGTGCAACTGCTCCCAGGGACCTCCCTCCCTCCCTGAGTTCAAAGGCCCAAGACTGAGAGAAATCTGATTGGCCAGCTCAGGCCCGGCCTCCCTGATTGGACAGAGCTTCTGTTTTATGCCACCTCATAGGCTGCTTGCCTCAGGCACCCAATCAGCAGCAAGCAGGGCCTATAAGTGCAGCCAGGTGCTCTCAGGGCTCAGAGTTAGGTGGGATGGTGTCCCTGTCTTCCGGAGACTTAGTCAAGGAAGAAGGTTGTGACAGACATCACAAGTGTGATCAGTGCCAGGGATACAAGGAAAGGAAGTGGAGGGGTGGTGGGGAGCACTGAGAAGGAAGGGGCCAGCTGTATGGGAGGGGAGGGCTGCCATGGGAGGGGAGAAGCCTCTTTCTGGAGCAGCATGCTGGAACACAGTGGGCATGGGGCTCTGCCTCTCTGAGTCTTAACCTCACAAGGATCAAGCCCCCAGGGGTGCTCCTGCCAGGTGGATGGTGCTCCCTGTGTGAAAGCATTTGGGCACAAGGGAGCCCAGGCCGGGTGGTGCCAGATAGTTCATTAATTCATCCAGGGAATAGGTGGGTGCCGAGGGCACTGTGTCAAGTTCAGTGAATGGAGCTGCTCTTCTGGAGCTGGTGTTCGGAAGAAACCTCTCCAGTGAGAGGTGGAGAGGGTTGCAGAGGGGCGGGGATCCAGGAGTGCGCTCCCTGTGGCAGCATCAGGAGGTGTGTACTTTGCAGCAGCATGCCCTATGGGTCTGTGAAGCCACTATGGAAAGATCCAGCCAGCGTCCACTCTGCTGGGGGATTTGAGTCCATACTTGGGCCACAGCGTTAAGGATGCAGTAGCCAAGCATCCGAGGTCCTGAGAGAGCCCAGGGGTGAGGGGACAGGGCCGCTTTGTCCAGCCCTTCTGTGACCCTGAGAGCTTGCCCCTCCAGCTCTGAATCTTGAAGTTGGAGCACATGAAAGGAGGCAATGTTCCCCTCCAGTGGAAGCAGAACTGACACATGAAGGACACGAAGGTGACACTGTCACCTAGATGAGGGAGGAGAGGGCCCCCAGGCACAGGGAACAGTATGTGCAAGGCTCCGGGGGCTTGAGGGAGCTCCAAGTGGCTCAGTAGGACCGTTGGGAGGATTCCCCAAGGGAATGTCCCAACATGATGCTGGAGGGGCAAGGGCCAGGCCAAGGTGTGGTGCTGGTTTAGAACAAGGGGCAGCATAACCATATCCGTGGTTTGGAAAGAGCCCTCTGCCTGCCCTGTGGGGGGTGAGAGGGAGGCGGGGAGCCTGGGGCAGGAAGCCCAGTGAGGCAGCTGGGCGATGACCCCTGGAGAGCCACGAGAACTCTCCCTGAAGAGTAGCTGCAGGGCTGGAGAGGAGGGACGCTTCGGCGGCAAACCCGGGTGCTCCATGACTGCCGAGGGGGCAGGGGAGTCCAACGCCCCTCCCCCACAGTGCCGGGCAGGGGCAGTAGGACCAGGGAGCGGCAATCGAGGTTGGAAGTAAAGGGCAGAGTGTGCAGGGCTGGGCGGGGCCTTCTGGGTGGAGATGTCAGGGGCAGCCGGACACTGAGTGTCTCAGCAGTGGACAAGCCCCAAGGACACAGGGTCCTCCACTAGGCCTGGTGCCACAGTGGGCAGCCACCTGCCTCCCACCGCTGGCCGTCTGTCTACACCGAGTGAGCTGGGTCCTGATTCTGGAGCTCTTGGAGGGAGAGGTAGGCGTCCGTGTTCAGGGTCAGGCAGGAGGCGGGGGCCCTGACCTGGCCGTGCCCGGGAGGGCTGGCCCAGGGGAAGCCGGCCCCCTGCACGGGGCGGGGGGCAGGGACCTCCTCTCCTGCTTCTCCCAGCGGCTGCCCCGGGGGAGGCTGGCGATCTGCCAGGCCAGGGGCTCCTGCTGGGGGACGCCCCAGGGGCTTCGGGGCCCAGTCTCCAGCCACCTCCTCCTGCGGGGAGCGGGGCAGCTTCTCCTCACTGGCCCTGGTGCCCCCTGAGGCGGGGTTCGGGGGGCTTGGGCCCCCCAGGAGACCAGGGGAGAAGAGCAGCACATCCTCCCCGGGGGGGAAGGTGCAGTAGGCGTCGTCCTCCCCCGGCAGAGGCAGCAGGGCTGGGAGGGGAGACCCTTCGGGTGCCCCGGGCCCACCCTCGTCGAGCTCCTCTGCGTAGGGGTCGTAGGTGAAGTACACCTGGCAGGCCTCGATCTCCAGTGCATCCGGGAGGTGGAAAAAGAAGTAGCCCTGGTTGGTGAAGCAGCTGGTCAGCGAGTGGCCGCTGGTCTCCCGCGGGGGCGAGGGCGCCTTGTCCTGCTGCAGCAGGAGCAGCTGAGTGGCCTTGGCGTCCTTGTCCAGCACCTCCAGCGGGGAGATCTCGGGCGCTGGGCCGCTGGAGCTAAAGGAGGATGAGGGGAAAGGCGAGGAGAGCCACTTCTGTGGGGAGAAAGAGCCGGGGAGGGTGAGCGGGATGCTTGCTCTGCCCTCCCACCCCCTCCTCCAGACTCCCTGCAACAACTCCTAGCTCCTCCTCCGCCTTCAGCCATCCACGCAGGGCTGCCCCCTCCGGGAAGCCCTCCCTGACTATACCTCCACACCAACTAGCCCCCTGGCTTGGAGAACCCTCTGGGTCAGCCCAGGGGGTATGCCTGCCTCACAGCCCCAGCACAGGCCTTGCTGGCTCACAGGAGGTGCCCAGGGGATGTGTGGGTTCAATGAGTGTCTTTACTGAGCACCTACGGTGAGCCTGGCACTGCTCTCGGTACCAGGGACACAGCAAAGGGCGGAATCCTCAGAGTGTGGTGGGGACTAGGGGGAGTGCGTGAATCAGCCAACCAACACGGAAGCAGAAAGGTCCCTCAGAGCACAGAGGCCCAGAGAGGGGGTGCACCCTGATGTCGATCACACAGCCAGCTGGCAGCAGAGCAGGGACCCAGGCTCCCCACTCACACTGCCGTGGAGACATCTCGGGTAGGGAGCTGATGGTCCCCCATTTACCTCTCCCTCCCAGCACCTTGCAGCACCCCCCTCCCGCACGCTCCCTCCACAGAGAGAGGAAAGTGCCCAGCAGAGCACTTCGCAGTTTCTGGGGTGTCCAGAGAGCCCCGGTAAGGAGCGGGGAGACCAGGGTCCAGCCCTGGCCCTGGCATTCGTGAGCTGTGTGGCCGTGGGCAGGTCACTGCACCTCTCTGAGCCTCAATTCCAAAACAGCTAGCCACGTCTCTCCTGACCTCCTCCCTGTGGGCCAGTAGGCAGATGTCAAGTAAGAAAACGAAGGTGGAACCACCTGGCAACAGGTAAAATGCGGACGACACAGCAGAGTGTGGGGGCCGGCAGACTCTGGGATGCTGTGATGGGGGCCTCAGGTGGGTGCCTTGGAGGATCCCAACAGCCCTCTGTCCCGGGAGCCTCAGCACCGCGCTCGGCTCCCCCTGCGCTCCAGCCGATCTATTTCTGCTGAACTAGTGGACCAGCGGGAAACATGCCGGTTCTCTCTCCCCAGAGTGAGTTCCCAGGGCTGAGCGGCTGTTACACACACGCACACGCACGCACACGCACACGCACGCACATGCACACCACTCAACAAAACCTACCCCCTCCCCCAAACCAGGAGTTTGTGTTGCAGGAGAAAAGGCCAAAAGAGAGAGAGAGATGGCCCCGGGGCAAACCGGGAATGGCAGAGCAGGGCAGCAGCCCGGGAGAGAGGGGGTGCGGGTCAGGGGTTCCAGGCGGGTGGCAGCAGAAGGAGAGGCCAGGCCTGTGGCCAGCGCTGCTGTGCCAGGGCCTCACTGGGCCCCGCTCAGAGGGGTGTGTGGTCAGCCACTTCCTGGGCTGGGCCTCCGTCCACATGCCCCAAAGTGGGGTGGGAGGGGGGCACAATGAGAAGCTCGTCCCCGTTCACACACACTCGCACACTCACACACACACTCCCAGGTCCCCTGGATGGGGCAGTGGGCCTTGTGGCCTTGGAGCTGGGGGCCCTGGGGTAGACAGAGGGAGGACCAGGCCTCAGCCAGATGCAGAGGAGAGGGCTGGGTCCCTCTTGGCCACCCCCAGCCCCCAGCCACATTGTGCGTCCCCAAAGCCTTCTCGGGATACCCCCCGCCACACACTGGGCCTGAGCCAGGCATCCAGACCCAGGGATGACCTCATGGGAGGATGGAGTGGTTTGCAGCTCTCCATGAAGGACCCCACTCCCACTTCAGAATGTCCTAGGCCATGGAATCAGAAGGACTTCAAGCTGGGAGAGGACTGAGGATGCATCCAGTCCAGCCTCCAACCAGCTCCAACACAGGAATCCCTTCTGACACACAGTCCGCCAAGGCCTGCTTGAATACCTCTGTTGGTGGGGAGCTCACTACCTTTACGGCTCAAGGAGGAATTTTAAGGCGATACACTCCCCTACATCAAGAGTACTGTAGGTAAGATATCCCCAGTCTTGGGACTTTTCCAGAGAATTCCAGAAGGGGCTCTGATCAGCCCTGAGAAAGAACTCCAAAGCCAGCTCATGACAGCTCTGGTCCAGGATGGCTTTCCAGCCCCTCAGCGCTCCTCCTGACCTCCCTCCGGCCCCCACCTCACCCCGCAGGTCTTGGCAGCCTGGGCTAGGGGTGGGGAGGTAGTGGCAGCCCACCACGCCCCTCTCCCCCTCGAAGCTTCCTTCCTGAAGCGGGTGTGGCTGGGGGAAGGGAGACCACCAAACTTGAAGTGAAGCTCGGGGTGTTACTACCATACGGGCCCGTACTTTTAATTGAATCTGGATTTTGTGACCAGAAGTGACTAGAGGACTCGGCAGCATCTGGGACAAGATCTGGAGCCTGCCCACGGGTTTTTGCAGAGCAGGTCCATGCAGGTGCTGGCGGGGAGAACATGTGCCTGGCAAGTCCTACTCTGTCAACAGCCTGGTGACAGGAATTCTAGCCAGGGCCCCCTGAGCACTCACTGTGTGCCGGGGCCATACCCGTAGTAACACTATTCTCCTCCCCGGTTTACAGGGGAGGAAACTGAGCACAGAGAGGTTCCATGACTTGCCCAAGGTCACACAGCCAGAAAGCGGTGGAGCCGAGATTAGAAGCCAGACAGTCTGGCTCAGACAGAGATCGCTGGTGCCAGAGCTGGGGAAAGGGGCCCCCCCGCAACCCCAGGCTGCTCACTTCCCGTTTTGTTTCCTCCCACACAGCGCGAAAGCTGCTACTCCTGCACCAGCTCCCCAGCCACATGCACCACGCCCACCCTCCAGCCAGCCCCCGCCAGCTGCCCGCTGCCGTCCTCCACCCCCAGGCTCCTACCTGGAAGTCTCCTCCGTGCTCTGAGCTCAGCTGCGAAAAGAACTCCGAGGGGTCTGGGATGTGGCACTTCAGGACCTTCTTCAGCCTGGACAGGGGGAGGCAGGGAGGGAAGGAGGTGAGCAGGGAAGGGGCCCAGGGGTCCTGCCGGCAGCCCCCTAGCTCTGACGGCAGGGCGCGGAGCCACCCCACAGATGTTCATTTGTTCGGTCAACACTAATTGAATGCCGACTAAGGGAAGGTACTGTGCTGGGGACACAAGAATGGCTGATGGAGAAGGTCCCTGCACTCAAGGAGCTGACATTGTAATGAGGAGTCAGACTCGAACCAAGTGTGCAACGTGACCATTCATTCTGCAGAGACAAAGAGCAGGTGCTGTGCAAGAGAAGGATATGAGAGTGGGAGACCTCATGAGCTAGAGGGGTCACGGATGAAGATGGCTGGAGCAGAGTGAACCAGGAGGAGGGAGGTAGGAGAGAGGCCAGATTGTGGGCCTCCCAGTCAGGGCTGCCATGGATAGTGGTTCAGGTTGAGCACTGCCCAAGGGCACCGAGTTTGGGGACAGGTGGTGAGTGGGGACTGAATTCTAGCCCATGTTCTGTTGGCCAAGCTGAGTGCCCCAGTATCTGTGTGCATCCACCTCAGGATGTACACCACAGCCTCAGGGCCCCATAAAGCTTGGCTGCCACCCACATGTCCAGGCTCAGGTCAGCCCTCTCCCCTGCTGCCTCCTGGTCTCTAGCCACACCCGCCTCCCTGCATTCTCAGTTCCTGGGATGCTCCTCCTTTCTTCCCACCCAGGGCCTTTGCACAGGCTGTTTTCTCTGCCTGGGATGTGCTCCCCATCCCCTCCACTCCACCTGGTTCACTCCTCCTTCAGATTTCAACAGAATCATGTCTTTCTCAGGGAAGCCGCCCCCAGCCACCCCTCAGACAGGATCCCACTCCACATTGTCTGCTTCCCATCCATCCATTTGCTTCCTTCACTATCCCAATGACAGCGTGTCGTTAGATACACATATGACAAATAGTATCTGCCTTCCCCCACTGGACTGCGAGCTCCCCGAGGAGGGGACCCAGGCACGGGGCTGGCCCTGTGCTCCCAGCACTCGGGGTCCCCCCGGCTCTGTGCCGGGACTCAGTAAAGAAAGGGGTGAATGAATGATCGCCCAGACCTAAACAGAACCGAGAGGACCGACACACACAGACGGCTGGCACGTGGACACACGCACGCACGCGTGCACACACGCACTCGAGTCCTGAGAGTAATGCTGGGGACAGGGCCCCCATGGGCTCTCCCTCACCCCTCCCCTCAGGCTGGTTCCATGGGTTCCGTCTTTGGGGGTGGGTCACAGGGACAGGCCGGGTGTGAGGCGGGGAGGCTCACGGGAGGGCAGAGGAGCACGGGTGTGCCAGAGCGGGGGGCTCAGCCGGGAACCAGACCCGCCCAGGGGTGTGCGTGGATCAGACAAGAATGTGACGGACGGGAGGGGAGCGCTCTTACCACAGCCCGATGTACCGGCAGTTGACCAGCAGGTAGACCAAGAAGATGAAGCCTAAGCTGCCGCCAGTGAGGCCCACGAGGGTGTGGCCCCACCAAGAAACGGGCAGGGTCTCCTTCTCGGGGGCTGCCCAGGGGCGAGAGGAGAAGCAGGGAGAGGGGTCAGACAGGTGCCCCCACTGACCCCATCACTCCAGCATCCGCGGCCCCCGACCTGGCGCTGAGGGACAGGCTGCCCTCTGACCCTTCACAGGGTCCCTGCTTGTCCAGCAGACACGCTATGGGCCAGGCTGACAAGGGGCATCGCATGCCTTCATCACAGCAGCCCTGCCTCAGTATCATGGTACCCATTCCACAGATGAGGAAACTGAGGCCAAGAGGTGAAAGCACCCTGCCCCAGACCGTGGCAGAAACCAGGAGTTTGAGGTTTCAGGGTGGAGCAAGTGAAAAGAGCCTTTCTGGTCTCCCCACTAACTCACAAGGCCATAGGCAAGGCCAGCCCCTCACTGAGCCCTGTTTCCATCTGTGAAATGGGCACAATTAGGCCCACCCTGCAGGGCCACATCAAGTGACACATCAAGTGGCCGGTGACTGTGAATGGGCTGAACACCGTACCCCCATCCCCGGGCCTCCCCCGCAGCCCCCCCAGAGCCGCACCCCAGCCACACCGCCCTGCCCCAGATCCGTCCCCGCCCCTGCTGCCCACAGTACCTGCAGGCCTGGTCCTGAAGGCCAGGGGCTGGCTCCAGGGGCTCCAGGGGCTCCAAGCCTCGAGATTGTCCAGCTGGGGCCTCACTCGCACCTGAAGCTCATACGGGGTGTCTGGAGCCAGTGTCTCCAGGCAGATCCACTGCTGGTTCTGATGGAGGGTCAGCAGGGCGGCCTCCTGGGGCAGAAACAGGGCTGTCAGAGCAGAGGGGCCCCACCACCCGCCTCACCTCCCATGGCAGGGCTGGGCGGAGGCTGAGCAAGGCAGCACCTTCCTTTCTCCCCTCCAGCCACCCCTTCCTCTGCCCCCCATCCTATGAAACTGACCACTCAGTTGCTGGGGCCCCCAAGCCCAGAGTCATCCTAAACCCCTCTTCCCACTCATCGCGCACATCCAAAGCTATCAGCCGATCAGCTGGCTCCCCCTCCAGGAGCTGGTTCCACCTCCGATCCTGCTATGGACCCGTCCCCTCCTCTCCCCTCGTCCCCCTCCAGGTCTGAGGGCCACAGCCTCGAAGGCCTGCAGGTGGTCTCTGCGTCCACGCGGCTCTGCCACAGTCTGTGCACCACACCACCCGAAAGAGGGATTTTCCCACAGACCTCTCCCCACTCTGGATCCCTCTTGTTGCTTTTTTCCGGTTCCCCAGATGCACAAACAGCATCTTGCCTTTGCACCAACTGCTGGAAAACCCTCCCCAGACCTTTGCAGGGCCAGCTGCTTCTTGACGCTCAGATCTCAGAGCAGTCTTCTCTGGTCACTTGAGTCTGGAGTAGCCTGTGCCAGTCCCTCTCAAATGCTCATCCCATTAATTGTCTTGATAGCACTTAATAGCCATGGTCTCCTGTTCCTGTGCTGACGGTCTGCCCCACGCCTGCCATGTGAGTGCCCCGGGAGCAGGAAGCTTGTCAGTCTCACCTTCCACTCGCTCTCCGGTATGCAGCACATAGTAGGTACTCAGTAAATGTTTGCTGAGTGAGCGAGTGAGCGAATAAATGACTGGGGAAGTGAACGAGTAGGTGACAGACCCCTGTGGACCTGGACCATGCTGGATTTGAAGAGTGGAAAGATGGCTTCCCCAGGCCTCTGAAATCTCACAGAGAGGGCAGCCGCCTACCTCTTGGCTGTGTAAACCTCACCTGGTGCCAGCCTGGCAGCTGCCACCACCTGATTGTCAGGGGGCACGTGGAAGGAGGGGGAGGCAGGAGCAGGCAGTACAGTGGACCAATGGGGGCTGCTGGCTTTGCTGAGATGAAGGGCGGATGGGGCGATCAGGACAGGAAGGAGGAGTCAGGGCAGGTCAGGCCTGGCCCATGGACTCACCTCCCAGCTGTGGCCCGGGGACCTCATCCGGGCCTCGAACTCCAGGTATTTCTCAATGTAGTGGGAACACTGAGAGACGCTCCAGCTTATGTTGCATCTGTGGGTCTCCACGTGGACAACGTGGAAGGAGTCGGGGGCCATCAGGCGAACTGGAGGCAGGAGAGAGCACGGGAGAGCAAGCTTGGGGGACGCCACGTCATGAGGCTGAGAGGAGAAAGCGAGGCATGCTCCCTCCTCCACCTCCGTACCTGTCGTCCTTCCCTCCTGGTGTGGGAATATCACCTGTTCCAAGAAGCCTTCTCCGGCCACCACCCTCCATCCCCTCACCTGTCTTATGTTTCTTCCCAGCACCTATCACACCTGACATATTAAATATCTATTTTTGGTCCTTTATTCATTTTCTGTGCCCCCACCGGCCTGGGCGCCTGCTGAAGGTGGGGACTTTGCTCTCCGATGCCTCCCTGGGGCCTGGGACGTCATCTGGCACGTCCAGACGCTTGATTAACTATCTGGGGAAGGAAGGGAGCAAGGCCGCCTTTCTCTGCACTCAGAATCCGTCTGAGTTTTGCAGGCATCTTCTCATTCGTTTAACTTCATTTCACTTAATCCCATTAATCTTGTTCTGTGATTCTCAAGTTAAACTGATCTCAGTTTTTATCATTCTGAGGCTCATAGAGCTACACACACCATGATAAGCGAGTGTTTGCCAAGCACGCGGGAAGCAGTTTCTGTGTCTTGGATCACAGACTCCTTCCAGCAACCATGAGCAGCAGGTAACTGATTACCCCCTCTGTACAGATGGGGAAACTGAGGCGCAGCCATGTGAAATGATCTGCCAGTCTGATCACAGTTGGTTAAGGCAGCGCTGCGTCCAGAACCCTGCCTGGATCTCACCCTCCACCCCAGCTCTTCCCTAGAGGTGGCCTGGAAGGTCTAGGAGGAAGTGGGCAAGGGATGGGGTTGGACTGGGCACTCAGTCATTCAACAAACCTTCCCAGAGCACTGCCCAGATCAGGCCTGGTGCTGGGGACTCAGAGTAGAGACATAGGGATGACAGAGATTCTGCCCTCAGGGAGCTCACAGCCCAGTGAGGGAGACAGTCCCATAATCAAGCAGTGGGGACTCAAGAAATAAACACCCTGAAAGGAGGCTCAAAGGTTTGGGAGAGTCTGGGAAGGCCTCCTGGAGGAGGTGACTCTTCACTGAGCCTTGAAGGGTGAGTAGGGAATTTTCTAGATGGGAAGAGCCTTCCAGGTGGTGAGACCAGCATGTGCAAGGGCTCAGAGGTATGGTGGGCAAGTTGAGTTTGGAGGGCCAGCTTTGGTTATGGCATGAATATAGGCCACAGGAGAGGAGTGCCAAGGGCCAATGCTGAGGGGCCTTGAATGGCAGGGTGTGGAACCAGGACCTCACCCTGCAGGCTGTGGGCAGTGAGAGGTCAGATGTGGGTGTGGAGAGAGACTGGAGCAGGGAGGACCCCAGAGGGGACGCCAAGAAGGGAGGGGCCCCCTGGAGTCGGCACTCACGGTTCTCGAAGGGCTTAAAGTCCTGGGTCAGCACCGTGCTCCTATTCTCCCCCTCATAGCACCTCACGCTCAGGGTGACGGTGTCCGCGGAGGTCAGCTTCTGAGCCTGCAGGGGAAGGAGGGCCGGGTCACAACTGCCAGCAGCTGGGGTTGGGGGAGCGGGAGGCCGGCGGGATGAGGACGGGGGGGACGGGAGGGGAGACCCAGCCTGCAACAAAGATGGGCCCCTTCACATGCCCCACCATCTCAGGCGGGGTCGGCAAACTTTTGTAAAGGATCAGAGAGCAAAGATTTTGGCTTTGCGGGCCATCTGGTCTGTGAAGACAGCCCTAGACAGCACAGAGAGAATGGGCGTGGCTGCACGCCACTAAAACTTTATTTACCTAACAGACAGCAGGCTGGGTTTGGCCCGTGAGGCATAGCAGTTTGCCAACCCCTGATCTAAAGTGAAGTGAGCGGCCTTGGGAGGGAGGGAGCTCCCTGTCACCAGAGGTGTGCAAACAGGGTGAGCCCCCACAAGGCTCAGGTCTGGAACTGTCCCCGTGTAACAGCTTTGAGTGTGAAAGACTCTCCTCGCCATCTCTCCCCACCTCCACGCCCTGACTTTTCTGGAAGAAAACGTCCAAGTGTGGAGCACCTTCTGTGGGCGGGCAGCACTTAGGGGCCTTAGCCACCACTCTGCTGATTGCACAGCAGGCTGTCCCCATCCTGCAGGCAAGAAACCGAGGTCTGGGCTCATTCAGGCACTTGCCCACAGTCACGCCTCTGGTCAGCAGGGGAGGCCGGAGTCGAGCCTGGGCTGTTGCACCCACGGCCCCACAGAGACCGCGCCTGGCCAGTCGCACCTGACCGCAGGCTGCGAGCGAGCAGCTTGTGGCAGCCTCCACCCTGTGCAGGGGCAGCCCTGCAGCGCTGCGGGAGGAAGGTCTGGCGGAGGCCCTGTTAGGATCTGTGCTCCGGGGCCCAGGCTGGTGTTCTGGGGTCCAGGACCCCCGGGCGCAGACCCTCTGACCTGCCACAGGGCAGGCTCTGAGCAAACCTTGAACCTGACCATCAGAGTTCCCGAAGCTGGGAACCACTCCTCCCTCTCCACCCCAAGGACCCTGCCCCAGCCTTCTTCCAGTTGCTATAGGGGCCAGATTTTCCCAGATAATAATAGTATTATCATTATTATTATTACTCTTATTGTTGTGGTTGTAAAGATGCCACTAACATCTTCTGTTGTGCACTTACTCTGTGCTGGGCACTCCGCCAGGCATTTGACATATACTATCTCATTTAATGCTCTCCACACCCTATGAGACAGGCACTATGACTATTCTCACCCTACAGTTGAGAAGACTGAAGCACAGAGAGGCTTAGGGACTTGCCTAAGGTCACACAGCTAGGAAATGGTGGGGCCAGGATCAGAGCTCATGGGGATAGACACACAGTCTGGTTACGGAGGCCATGCCTTGGTCAGCTACACTGTATGAGTCTGTCTCCACATTTTCCTGCCTTTCAAGAACACGTATAACCTGATGATGGTTGGAAAATGTGATCTGGGCATCCCTGGTGCCCACCACTGCCAGGCAGGGTTTGATGGACAATAATGTGAGGCATACCCACACAGACATGGCCATGTGCCCTTCGAGAGGCAGCCTAGGGCAACGGTGAAAGGCTGCGCTGGGGGTTGACGGACCCAGGTTCAATCCCAGCTCTGCCACACTCTGGTTGTGTGACCCTGGGCAGGGACCACGCCTCTCTGAGCCTCCCTTTCCACCTTGGTAAGAAGGGGACAGTGTGGTGCCCACAGGCAGAGTCGTAAGGATCCACTGACGATAGGGTCAAGGGCACGCTCTGTCCTGGATGGCGCTCTGAGTGCTTTAAGCCTCAGAACAACCCTACGAGGTAGGGCCATTGTTATTCCCATATTATAGAAGAGGAACCTGGGACTCAGCAGTTGCACAGTGTCACCCAGCTGGTGTAGACCGTCCAGCAGAACCCACACTCTTAAGCCCACACTGCCCTGCACTGCCCTGACTCGGGAAGGGTCAGATGGCAGGATGTTATTATTACTGGGAACCCTCCCCGCTGGATGAGGAGGACAGAAGTGTCACAGGACCCACAAAGCATGGGGGATGGCGCCGGAGCAGAGGCCAAACGGCCCAGCCTCACACCCATGGAGCCCTCGCCCCCCAGGTCAGGCTGAGCTCTGGCCTCTGGACACTGCCCTCCGTCCTCTGCCTCCCCGGGCCCAGGGCCACTGGGCTTGCTGGGCCCAGCTCTTCCTGTGGAGGGACACCCCTCTGCACCCACCCTCCCCCAGGCATCTCCCTTCGGCTTTGGCTCCTCACCTTGGGGGCTCCGAGGATCAGGTTACAGGCCCAGGTTGCCGACCTCACTGGGAGCAGCTCACAGGATTTTTCCCACGTCCTTTCGAGACAAACGAACCTCCTTAGAAGAAAAGGAGGGACCCCCCCCTCCCTCCGCCGTAGAGCTGGCCCTCGGGATGGTCCCCCACGCAGCAAGGCTGGTCTCCACCTGCCCACCTGCTCTGTGTCCCCTCACCTTTTCCTGCCTCCTTGTCAGAGTAATCTTCTAGAAACAGACCGGGTCAGGACCTGCAGCCCTCCCCCGGAGTCTTCCCATGGGGCCTGATGGGGCCTTCGGGGCCCCATGGAATCACCACCCCCCGGGACCAGGGCCAAAAGCCAGTGCTACCTACGCTGCTGCCACGAGGATGCCTGGATCATGGCAACCCCTTCACTGACTCCTTCCCAGCCCCCAGGCATCCCGACCATGCCCCAGTCCCGTGTCACCACAGCTGCCCTAGGAGTCTCTCAAAATCCCAGCTTCCTCGAAAAGCTTGGGGAGTCCTCTCTCTTCCCCTCTGGCCTCTAAAGTCGAGTCCAGCCTCTGCCTAGCAGGTGTGCAGCCCAATGGTCCCAAACCACCTTGCCCAGCTTGTCTCCAGCCCCTCCCCTGCCATCTGGACGTCCGAACCCCACTCCCACCCTGCTTCCAGGAGTCTGAATATCTGACTCCCAAATTGTTCCAGACCCATGCGATTCCAAGATCTGGGGGTCCTATTGCTCCGAGATTCTCCAAGGGCAGGGTTCTTGGAGTCGGAGAGTCAGGACTCCAAGGGTCTAAAAGCCAGGGACAAGACCCCACCGTCCTGAGACCCTGCAGCACCGCCCGCCAACCCCGTGCTCACCGTTTATCCGACTTGGCGTGGACGTGGCAGGACGCGGCCTGCAGGCCATCATCCCGGCTCCAGACGCAGGAGATGTTGGCTTTCGAGTTGTAGAAGCATGTGAGTTTGGAGGTGTCTGCCGGTGGGACGGGGCATGAGTGGCTGGCTGCAGGGCGCCCCCAGCCCTCACCCCTGCTCCTGGCACCCTCGCCTACCAGATGGGGAGGTGGGCAACAATTATGGTGGGCAGAGAAGGGGCGGGCGGACCCATTTCAGAGAGGACAAACTGAGCCCCAGAGCCCGTGAGGGCCCATAGGCAGGCCGGGGCAGGGCAGGGACACAAGCCAGTGTCCTCCTGTGATTTGGAGAGGCACATGGGTGCAGTGAGGGCAGGACCGAGGGCCAAGGGGGAAGGTGGATGTCTCTCTCTCCCTGCCTCCTGCCCCTGCTGATGGATCTTCTGCCAAGAGGCAGAGGTCCAGAAAGGGGTCTAGAAAGGGGTTCTAGAAGGGTGTTGGCCTCTTCCCCTAGGGAAAGCACAGCTGTCCAGAGGCCAGGGTCCTCACCGTTCACCACTGTGGATGCCTGAGGGATGGCCAGGGGCAGGAGGAGGACAAGGAGGGACAGACACCAGGACAGAGCAGGAGCCGCCATCACATCCACGGGTGGGAGCTGGAGAAGGGAGCCCTGGAGGGACGCAAAGGGAGAGAGAGCGCAGGTGAACATCCACCCCTGTCCCTCTCCTCTCAGGGTGTGCTGGTCTGCTGTCCGCCATGCAAGAGTCCAGTCTCAGGGCCTTTGCACCTGCTGGTCCCTCTGCCCCCCACACACTCATTTCCTTTCTTCAGAGATTCACGGACCCATGCGTCGTCAGAGCCAAAAGGGCTCTCTGAGTGAGCCCGAACTCTTGTTCAAAAGTTGGGGAAACAGGTCCAGAAGAAAGACGAAAGATGTGCTTAAGTTCACATAGGGAGGCCAGCACGGAGGAGCCAGAATGAGAGCCCAGCTCCCTTCTGCCCCACCGCCCCTTAACCACACCGAACCAATGGTCAAGAGGTTCCCATAGGCCAGGCTCTGTGTTAAACTCTAAACACAGCAATAAGAGCATCTACTGCAGATACTCATTATCCCCATTTTCAGATGAGGAAACTGAAGCAGAGAGAGATGAAGCAAATTACCCAAGGTCACACAGCTGACAAGAGGCAGATGTGGAATCTGAGCCAGGGCAGACTGCCCGGGGCCCAGGCAGGGGCCCTCCCTCCTGTAGCTTCTCTGACTGCATCTTCCCGCCCACCGAGCCCACTCACACCATCAATAAACAGGTGCTGACGGCCCCACGACAGTACTCACAGTGCGTGTGAGCGCGCACGCCATGCCAAGCGCCACACCGTGCCAAGTGCTTTACATGCCCTGGCTCAGCTGACACGCCCCGCAGCTCGGGGGTGGGACGTGTGTATTATCCCCTCACTCAGATGAGGACCGGCAGGATCCAGTCATTAACCTGCCTAAGGTCACACGTGCAGGAAAGGCAGAGAGAGATTCCATCCCCAGGCTCCACCCCAAGCCCTGTTCTCTCATGTTGTCCACCCTGCGCAGACCCTGCCCCAGGCACTGGTCCCAGAGGGAAGGCCCACAGCCTCCCTGCCCTGGGGCGTCAGGGCCCAGCAGGCCACAGGCCAACTGGCGGGTGTATGGCCTGGGTGTGGGAGGGAGCCCAGAGAGGTACCCGTGGGCTCCTCCTTGATCAGCCCACTGTGCCCACAAGAGGGTGAGCTCCTCGGGGCGGGGCTGGGACCCCCCAACAGCACAGGGCACAGGGTTGGGACCCCAAAGGGTGCAGAGCCCAGCAAAGGGGCCCCCAGCAAGCCCCCCCATCATGCCCCTTATTCGATTCCGGGGCACGGGCACTGTCGATCCCCTGGAGGGTGTTGTCTGGGGCCAGGCACCAGCCAGCAAGGTGACCCCATGCCCAGGACCAGACCTGGCACAGGGCCTCAGGGTGAGAGGAGGCGGATGGGGGCAAAGGCCTGCCAGATCGCAGGACAGTCAGGGCCAAACCACAGCCCCTGTCTGTGAAGTAGCACTGTCTGAAATGAGCCCCAGCGCCCATGGCCGAGAGGGCGCAGCAGTGGACCAGGAGAGCGACTGCATGGGCCAAGGCGAGGAGGGAGCCCCAGGGGTGAGGCTGGGGGGCTCCTAGCCTGAGCCTGCACCTTTCTGCAAAGGAGGAAACAGTCTCAGGGAGGTTAAGGCCCCAGAGCAAGGAAGAAGCCCAGCCTTAGGGAGGGCCAGTGGGACCCGAGTCCCAGGCACCCTCCATCCTGGGTTCTCACGCACACCCATGCACCCTGCCCCTCACGACTGCAACACCGTTCGTACTCACTGACTCATCAGATCCCCACCACAACCCTGGGAGGTGGGCGTCACCATCCCCATGTGACAGATGCCAAGACTGAAGCTCAGAGCTGCCTGAGGGGCTGGACTCAAGCCCAGATCACCTGATTTCAAGTTAAAAGAAGAAGATGAAGATAATGCTGGCACTGATGATGTTGATGCTGATGGTGACGGTGCTGATGGTAAAGCTGGTGGTGACTAATACCCAGTCTCCCTCTGTGTCCGGCACTGTCATTAGCACTTCACAGATGCGACCTCATTTAATCCTCTCGGCGCCCCTATGAGTAGGTCCTAATATGACTCCTTTTCTCAGATAAGGAGACTGAGGCACGTGTAAGCCTCCTGCCCAGGCTAGAGGGGCAGAGCTGGGGTTTAAACCCAGTCCGGTGCAGTCTGAGGCCCCCCGCCAGGGCTGACATGGGGGTCCACGGCGGTACGTGGGGGATGGGGAGGACATGAAGCAGGAGCTCAGTAGCCAGAGACGCATCCCACCTGACCTCTGAACTGGATGGGCCCGCTCCCCACCCCCCGACCTCTGGCCACCCCTCCGTATGCACACACAGGGCTTCCTCCGGCTGTTTAACCCGGGGGCATCTCTCCAGCTGGGTGTGGGATCCTGGCGCGGGAGAACGAAGGGGACCCTTGGGCATGTCTCTGTCCCCATTCCCACAGTGCTCCAGACACAGTGAACAGGGGGAGACCTCGGCCCCCAGGAGAAGAGAGAGAGCATGCTCCCCAGGGAGCCCCAGGGATGGAGCCCCATCCCTTCCAACAGTGACCTGCCCAGTCACACAGGCAGGTGAGTGACAAATCCGGACCTGAACCCAGGGGTCTGGCCTCTGGCCCAAGGCTCCCAGAGACTGCCAGCACACCCTACTTCATAGCCAAGTCTCCTTCCTCAGCCCACAAGCCTCCTAGGAGCACCTGACACGGGGGTGCCTCCCCGCTGTGGGCCCACATCCCAGTGCCCTCTCTGGGCACCTAGTCCATCTGAGGCTCAGCTGGCCTTCTCCCACCCAGTCCTCTCCCCTCCTTACCCTCCGCCTCTTGGTTGGGGGGCCCAGCACAGGGTCCGGGAAACACCTCATCCCAGAGCAGCCCCCAGCCTCCCTAGGGGTGGGCTGGGAGGGAGGGCAGCCTAGGACCCGGTACCAGCCTCTTCTCAAGCCAGAAGCCCTGAGAGCAGGGCCTGCCTCCTCCTTGGGGGTCTCAGAGAAGGCTGGGGGGAGGGCTGGGAGATGGAAGTTCAGGCAGAAGCTCCTGGGGGATCTGAGTCAGAGCTGAAAGTTGTCCCCAGGACCTTCACTTCCAGGTCCCTGGCTGGTGGCAGGGGCCAGGAGGGAAGCCCGGGGACCCGGGAACGAGCAGGGGCAGGGTGAGGGCAAGGCGGGGCATCACCTGGCTGAGACATGGGGCTGCGGCGTGCTCTCTCTGGTTCTGTCGGCTGCTGGGACCTCAGCCATCTCCCCAGGGCCCTGCCCCGGCACTGGCGGCCCAGGTAGCAGCCGGCTGATGGGGCCAGCAAAGACTAAACCCCAGGGCCAGCCCACTTCCTGTGCAGAGGATGGAGGGGGCAAGGCCTGGGGTGGGGAGGCGGGGGAGGTCTGGCTGGTGAGAAAGTCTGAAACTCCTGAGCACCCAGAGACCAGATAAAGATCTCCCTCCTCCCCGGGGTGGGGGGAGTGGAGGGGGGCACCGTGGGCGCCTTGGCAGCGCGTGCACATGCGCGTGCGCGCGCACTCTCAGATAGAGCCTTGCTGCACCAGGGAGCGCGAGGCGGTGCAGCCCCTTCTTTCCCTCCCCCACCACGCCCACCCCCTCTAGCACAGGCCCCCTCCAGCCTCTGACCCCCTCATCCAATCACACACACACCCACTAACACGCCGGCCTCACAAACAGGTCCCTCGGGCATCCCCCAGCGCGGCTCGCTCATCCCACCCATCTCGCTGAGACCTCCCTTTTTGCCCAGCCTTCTAGGAAGCCCCTCACCCAGTTTAACATTCAGTCACTTTTCGGGGCTTTGCAAACAATTCGATGGCCCCTTATTGAACGTTCTAGAACCTTCTTCTTCCTCTCAAGTCATGGTTCCTAATCCTTTTTTCCCCTTTTGTGGGGGGTAGGGGGATGTCAGCTCAGGGCTTTTTTTCTTTTATGATGAGATTATGGACCCTTCTAGAAAGGTGCGCGTCCATTTACGCGTAGTGTCACAGGTCCGGGGACCCTGTGAGGGTCCCTCCAGAGTCCAGAAGCAGCAGCTCCACTTTCTCCCTTTCTCCCAATTCTAGTAGTCATGCTTCAGGGGGCATTTTTTGTAAGCTGCTGTCTCTTTCAAAAAAGGGGAATAGAGCGAGCTGGGGGGTGGCAGGGGGGGCAGGCAGCTCTGCAGAACCTCCAGTGTGCGCAGAAGTGAGAAAGCAGAATCGAGAACCCTGAAAAGAGAACGTGGCCCCACTGCCTCCTGAGTGGGAGGCGGGAGAGGAGAGCGAGACTGGACCCGAAGCCGCTTGGAAGCCAGTGGCCCTGCCTCCCTGTGCCTGACACGCACACCCATAAAATGAGGGGTGACAGTTCCTGCTGGATACGCCAGGAGGAACAATGGGCAGGAGCGCACACAGCGTGTCTCCCTGAGACCACGCACAGTAGGCTCACCATGAGCCCCTGCTCCCCCTGCCCTAGAGCCGGGCTCTCTGGATGCAGGAGACGGTCATAAACGCAACCATCACAAGGATGAGAATAACAGCCAAGATTTATTAAACCTAGAATATTTCTGGAAGTTTCTCCAGAAACCAGAACGCTGGATCTCTTGGGGAGGAAAGCCAGATGAGGAAGGATGTTTTGCACCGTAGTCCCTTTTGCACTGCACGAACGTATTTCCTGCCCCAAATAAATGAATTCAGTTAAAACTTTCAAAAACACATAGAAAGAAAACATACAGCCCCAGGCGAAGTCAGAAGTCTTGGACCAGCTTGCAATGGCTTTGTCCGGAGGGAGGGCAGAGCCTGCCCCACCTGAGGGGCTGGGGGCTCTTCCTCCTCCTCTCTCCTTCCTTCTTCACTCCACAAACACTTACTGAGCACCAAGATGTCCTCATGGCCAGGCTGGGCGCCGAGGACCCTGAGGGGACCGACACCAGCCGTGCCTTAGGAGCAGCACACGGGCCCAGGCAGGACAGGAGAGGAGGCGGAGGTGGCTCTAAGGCGGGGTGGGGGGGACCGAAAATGGGGAAGGGGCAGCCCCCACAGTCAGAATCCCCCACCTGAGGGCCCAGGGCTCTGCTTTTGTCGAGAGCCCCAGGCCAGGGTGCCTCGGGTGGAGAGGCGGGGGTGGGCTACACTAAACAGGGAGAACGTTGATCATGTGCAGCCTCGCATCCTCCGCCTGAGACCTCACAGCCGCGGGAGCTTGTCGGAGGCGGTGCATGCTAGGGTGCAAGAGAGCATAGGAATATGTCCCCGTAGCCCCTCATGCACCTTCCTCCTGGGAATCATCCAGACCCCACATCCCAGCCTCCGTTGCAGGTGGGCAGGCCGTGAACTGAGTCTGGCCAATGGGATGTGGGTGGCAGTGATTTATTCCACTTCCAGGACTAAAAACCTCACCTCTGATCCTCCTCTGTGTCTCTCCCTCCTGCCCTCCCTCCCTTCCTCTGCCCCCAAGAATCCACTGGAGGAAAGTGAAGGCCTGGGGGTGGGGAGCCACCTGCAGGACAGGCCCCACTCTCCACTCCCCAGACAACCCGTCCTGGACTGTAACGGGAGCAAGAGACTAACCTGCATTGCGTGGGCCTCTGAGACACGTAGGTTCTCGTTTCAGCAGCTAGGGGGCTTCGCCCTGACTGATGCCCACGTGCCTGAGCTGGGCGTGAAAGCGAGGCGAGGGTGTGAGCGAGCGTGCCGGAGGGGCCCCAAAGCCGGGGGTGACAGGTGTGCAGAGAAGTGCACGTGGTTTTTTCAGCCCCTACCCAGTCCCGGCTGTCATCGTCTCCCCCCAGCCAGGGCCACAGTGGCCCCCTTACTGACCTCCTTGCTTCCACTCCTAACCCCTTCCACTCTATTTCTCCACTCAGCAGCCAGAACATCTTTCCCAAACCCCAATCAGGTCATTTCATTGTGCCACCCGCCTCTTTAAAACCTTCCATAGCTCCCAGTGCTACTCTACGTGAGCAAGCCCTGCCGTCATCTCTGAACGTCCCTCCAGCTCAGGCACGGCTGCTGTTCAGCAAACAGCCAAGCTCTCCATGCCCCCGAGCTCCATACATGCTGCCCTGCCTGAACCACTCTCCCTGCCCCTCCAGAGCTAGCTCCTGCCTTCCCACTTCACAGGCAAGAAAACCGAGGCTCACAGGTTATCCATCCAGAATGTGGCAGGGCCAGGAGGGGAACCTGGGTCTGGCTGATGGAGAACATCAGATTCCCTCTGAGGGAGCCTAAAGAATCTTCCAGAAGGTTCTCTGATGGCAGGGGCCTGACAGAGCCCACTCAGGCCTGCCTAGACTTTTGTCTCAGGAGTTCTGGGGGTGCACCAGCCTCCTCCCCTCCCAGCGCCCAAACCACCAAGCAGCTTAAACTCTTGTTCCCGGAACTGCCTCTCCTGTGCCCCCCACACCCCACCAACCCTCCCCCCTGTGTCCTCACTGTGTCCCCTTGTGACCAACTTCCCTGCACCCTCAGCTTTTGTGGACGCAGCTCCTGCAGCTCAACCACCACCGAACCTGGCCTCTGGCCCCTGTTTCATAGGAGCCATGGGGCAAGTGCATATTGGGGCCTTCCGGCTTCCACATCCCTCCCTGACCATGACTTTTCCACTTGCCCATCATATGGCTGTCTCTTTTTGGGGTCAAGCCAGGCTGCCAGACCTCCCTGCCCCTCTCTGCCCTGGCATCCACCAAACACCCCCTCCCCTTCCTCTGCACTCCAGCCCCGGGGGTACTTTGGGGGCCTGCTGCAGCCTCCAGTCGGGCACCGTCTTCTCCCCGGGCAGCCTCTGTGTGGCTCCACGTCAGTGCCCGGGCCCACACTGGGACATTGTCATCACTCTGACTCATGCCAGCCCAGAACCCTCAAACTGCCACCTCATCCCCCTCACTTCCACCACCCCCGTCCACTCTACGATAGTGTCCCAGGAAGGATTAAGTCCAGCTGTGTGTGTCCAAAGAGACAGAAGAAGGTAGTGGTGGCCCAAAGTAAGAGAGGAGCGTATTTCTGTCTCACACAGAAGAGTGCAGAGGCAGGCATTCCAGGGCCGGTGGCGGGCTCTATGATGATGTCAGGATCCCGACCTAAATCTGTCTCACTGCTGGAGCATCTTCAATATCTTTCTCCTACCTCATGGACCAAGAGAGCTGTTTGAGCTCCATCCATCACATCTGCTTTCCTATAGCTGGAAAGTGAAGAAAGGAGCAAAGAAGGGCATCCCTCTGCCTGTTAAAGACCTTTCCCCAAAGTTGCCCTTGACACTTCTAACTTACATCGCATTGGCTATAACTGAGTCATGTGACCAACTTAGCTGCAAAGGAGGCTGGGAAATGTGCCTAGCTATAAACAGAGGGTCCTTAGGCAGGGGAGACCAGGTGCGGAGGGAGCATTAATGGCTTCTGTGGTCACTCTCCTCTGCCGTCATGAAGCCCTCCAGTATCTCCCAGGCCACCTGGCAGCCCTCTGTCCCTTCCTCAGCCTGGATGGCATAGTTGCTCGTCTGGCTGACACTCTCTCTCCACTTTGGCCACCCCTCTCCCAGGGCCTGTGACCTGCCTTCTTGCAAATCAGTGGGGAGCTGAGTCCTCAGCTGGAGAAAATCCTAGCACCACCACACCCGGCTTCACTAGCGACCAGATAGGGGTCCTGGTCCCTGGTCTGGGGGGCGCCGGCATGCATGATTTTGCCTCCAACCCTCAGCCTGGTCCCCCTCGCCCATCAGGTGGAGAGCACAAGGTGAGAGGAAAGCTCAGAGTGACGGGAGCAGGACAAGGAGGAGGAAACAGTCTGGTGGCTGACGGCCCTGGGGGCTCTCCTCCCAGCCAATCCTTCTGCCGACATCCACTCTTCACTGGGACGCTCCACACAGCAGTCCCCAAGCTGGAACGTGGCCATCCTCTGTGGCTCGTCTTCCTGACACTCCACTTCCAAGCCACCACCCTCACCATCTCCACTTTGCCACACAGTCGCCTCCTCGCCAGCCTCCCGGGCTCCAGACCTAAATACCCTTGTTCTGTGTTCCTCTGTGAGCAGCTGGTTCGTCAGCCGCTCCAACACCAGCACCCAGAGCAACTCGTATCTCGTGGAACCATGCCATTCACGTAGGAAGCCATTCCCTGTTCCGGTTCCTTACCAGGACTCCTCCAGGGGAGCCGCTCGCCCCCTTCGCCTGGTCCTGAGGGGGTTTCCAGGACAGTGGACTTTCAGTGCTAAAACCGGGACAAAGTTGGTCACCCCATTCCCACCCCACTACACTAGGAGTTCCCTGAGAACAGGACTGTGTGCGATTTATCCAGACAGCTCCAGAGTATAGAAAACCACCTTACCTACAGAAGGTGTCAAGATGAGAGGAAGGAAGGATA